TGACACAGGAATGGCAGGTCCAAGGTGGCTCCACAACAGCCATCAAGCCCTGTCCTTCACAGCTCCTTTGATAGGAAGCACAGAACACTGGACAATATGGAATTGTCTGCCAGGTCTGGGTGTGACCATCAGAAGCCCAGCCCAACACCTCTTCCAGCACACTTTTTCATCTGTTCTACCCAGGACAAGGGCAGCTCCTCACTGATCTGCCTTGCAGTCTGGGAACCCCAGTCACAGGCCCAGTACAGGGGGCTCACACACACTGAGCAGCCTCCTCACCCCTAAGATCCTCCCACAGGGGATCAAGAACAGTCAGAGCCTGGCAAATATTGAATGTCAGTGTTGTCCAAGGCCACGTTGTCTTCCTTGGCCATACCCATAGACAGAAAAACCTACCAAGACTTGCTGCAGGCAGACGGGTTTGCTGAATGATTTCACTGCTTTGTTATCAGATAATTGCTTTTGTGACTATTCCATGTTTTCCAGAGTTCTGTTCTCCTCCAAGGGGCAATGCTGCAGGACTCTTATGAGTCCACATGAAGAGGGGAAGGAGCCTTTGCACCCCAACCCTGTGTGCCTGCAAAGCCAGGCAGTGGGGGCAGGTGTTTGTGTGCGTGGACCAGCTGTGGAACCATCTCTGACACGATCCCTCTGCTATGTGGGAAAGCCCAAGCCTGGTGCCCATGCACAGGGGCTGCAGAGCCATTGGTGGGCTGGAAGAGCCAACCTTCAGCCTCTGTGCCAGGTGAATCCACAACAGAAACACAGACCTCTAGCCTTGACTGTCCAAGTTGGCCAGTGACATCTTCTGCTGTGACACAGCTCTTCTGAGCTGCCAGCTGAATACAGAGGGAAACCAGCTCTCCCAGAGGACCAGCACACACCAGGCTGGATTTGCCACTGGAAGAATTTGGAAGGAATACTTGAAGACCATTGCCTGAGTCAGGCCAGGCATCTGTATGGCTCCCAGCAACTCTGCCCTTAGGTCACTTTACAATCAACACGGTGAGCTGTTAAAAGAATTCATTATTGGTGTCTCAACACCCCTGGACCATAGCAGCTAAAAATCCATACGAATGAAGGGCTCTTAAAACCATCTGTGCACTGTTTATTCTCTGCAGGGACAATAAAGAGAAGGAAATACTGAAAACAGTGAGAAGAAAGTGTTGAGAGTCATGAAATCTATAAAGTGTAAAGAGAGATGTGCCACATTTAGCAGGGATTATGTCAAGCAGCATCCTGAGCCAGGAGTGCTGACAGCACACACACGCTGCCTTCCACAGAGGAAAATAGGTCGGATGTGACCCCAAACATGCCAGCAGAGCTCCCAGCAGCACAGGCAGAAAACCCAAATTTCAGCACTGCCCACGGGCAAGGTTAATGGTCCTGCATCCTATGGAGAGTACAAGCCATATGAGAGAGCAGGACCTTTAAAACGTGCCTTGAAAGTCTAAACAAGGTCTTGAGAGGACATTTCTTTGCAACAAGCACAAGGGGAGAGGACAGAACTTTTGCCACTAATCACAGCTCTGGGCAGTTGCTTTTCCACAACCTCCAGTTCCCATGAGCTTCTCCTCCATGGGGAGCCTCTGTCTCATTTCCCAGCAGCCAGGACATCCTGGCAGCAGCATTCACCCATGCAGTGGGACAACTTTCACACAGAGCACACTGGAAAGAAGGCTCTCAAGGTAATGGCCTAACATAGTGAATTAATTCCAAAGCACAATTGTTTTCAATCTTCATTTAAACCCAACCTTACCTAATCTCACTTTAACGACATAGGAAATGGAAATTCCCTTAATCATGTAAGTTATGAATATTTATTACCCTATTTTTTACCTGAAAATGGAGTAATTCAATTAATTTTACTATTAATTATTTAATACAGAATTAATATACTGCAAGGTCCTAACTTTTCTTTATGATGCCGCTGATATCCCAGATAGGGGATGTTCCTCATGCTGGACTGATGGACAGGTAAGGCACAGGGTGTGCTTCCTGGGCAGTGGGCACCTGGACAGGAGGTGGAGAGACTCCAGGGACTGCACCCATCCTGCTCTCACCATGGAGTAGGGCTGGTCCCCCCAGCAATCCTCCTGTGTCCTTTCCAAGACATGAAGCAGGAAGGGGCAGAAACACATCTGAGCTACATTCCCAGATGGAAAACTGACCTTGCAGCTTCTGGGCACAGCCAAGGCTTTTCCATTGCCTGGGGCCCACTTGTGAAATACTGAAGTCACCTCGGATCGCTCAAGAGTATTTTTTAAATACTGTACAAATGCTAATGGCAGAAGGCACCTGGAAACAGGGAAGCAAAGTATCTTCCTCCAGCAGAATACTCCTGGACTCAGAAAATTGACTTTGTCATTGAAATTCCAAAGTAAATAACAATTAAGTTCTACTTGATATATAAATGTCAAGTAATTTTTTTTTTTTTTTTGTCATCGTGATTTGCATTTAAACTTGGAAATGTCAGACACTTGGCCCTGCTGCATTAGCAGAACGCTTCCCCCGCCCCGCTGCCGGAACACCCGCTGCGGATTACCCGGCACATCATCAAGTAACCAAACACCACTCCAAGGGAGCCTCAAGGTCGAGGCTTGCGAGGTGTACTCGCTAATTTATGTTGATCAACTGGAGCGCTCAAAGGATTGTTGTAATAATGCTCCAGCACATTTATATCTGTGTATTCAATCAATTGGAGTCGTTCAACGAGAAGTTTCAGAAAAAAGTAATTTTAGGGACTTTTTGCAAAGGTTTGTCATAGCTCCTTCAATGGCAAGAGGGCCTCCCCTCCATGTCCATGACTAAAGCAATACCCATCCATGCTGTTAACATGGGAAACTCTGTTTGGGAAAGAGATTAAAACATTCAGAACTGCAAGCCTGGCTCCAAACCAGCTCCAAACCAGCTCATCCCTCATTGCCACGCTCTGTCTTAGCTCAGTGACCTGTGAGGCATCACAGCCCAGCCTGGCCTGACCCTCTGCAGCAGTTCCTTCACCGGAGGCTGAGCTGGACAGCACCAAAACCCCATCACCAATATCAACCCTCTGCCCACAGCTGCAGCAGCAGCAGCTCCCACAGGCAGCGTCCAGCTGCACCTGGGGCCCCATGGCATCCATCCAGCAGTGACTCCTCACAGCACACTATACATCATCGGATTAGGAAACTCTCTGTGTGTCAGTGGTGCAATTAATTTTTATTAATTTTGTGAGATGAAATTAGTAGCACCCACAGCAGCAAACAAAGAACGGGGAGTGTTCCAGTTCAGTGCCAAATCGATGTCATTAATTCTATAATACTGGGAGCCCTGATTGTAGCAACTCAGCATTTAACTCTTCCAATTAATTTTTATATTAAAAAAAAAAAAAAAGCTAGAAAACTAACTGAACAATTTCAGAAGGACCTTGAACTCATGTCACAACTTTCCTTCTCCTGGGACATTCTTTCTTCCAAGTGTAAACACACAAGGGGAAGGTAAGGAATTGTTCATCAGAAAATTATTTTCATGCATTGCCTTTAGCAAACCAAGCTCTTAAAATCAGAAGATGCTGTTACAAAAACATTTATAATCTCCAATTTTTAATGACACTATGTAGAGCCAGACTAGTTAATGTGTTTTCTGACCCCTTAAAAGGCTTCTCTGGCAAAGGCTCAGCCAGAAATTGTTTTGAATTAATTCTGAAACTGAGATTACCAACCCAGAAAAAACTATTGCTAATATTAACTGAATTACCTGCTGTTCTGCAGCCAAGGAGAGCCTCACAGCTGCTACCAGCAGGAAAGATCCATTCAGGGCCCTTCCACTACCATGGCAGCTCCAGGTCTTGGAGAACCACTGAGAAAACAATGGAGTTTCCCACACCTCCTCCCCAGCATTTTAATACAACAAGCAAATGCATTACTTACCAATGTCACAAAAATATACAGTCTTGGAGGCAGAAAGCCCACAAAAAAGTAAAACAACACAGCTCTTTTGTTCCCATATTTCATGGAAAGCAGGTCCTCTGTGCGCCCCACCTGCAGCTGCACTGCAGAGGTGCAGAGAAGGCCTCCACGTCCATCCTCTCTTCAGCTGGGTGCTGTGGAACACCTGGAATCAATCTGTGCTATTCGTTAGGGTGGCACTGCTCCCCATGTCCCGCTGGGATCTCTGTCCCTGCTCATGGCAGCAGGAGGGGATGCCAAACCTGGAGCACGCTGCTCTGGGCACCGGCCCCTGCAACGGATGATGCTGGGATGCAGGATGCTAGAATAGGCTTTTCTCTCACCTGGGTCCCAGCAGGCTTCTTCCAATGGCCCAGCCCTCTGCAATAGGAAAGGGGTGATTGGGAAAAAGAAAAACAGCAAAAGCCCAGCAAGACCAGAAAGCAAGAGTCGTTCTCTGCGTTAGTGAGACGTATGGAGCCAGAACATAGCTGAAACTGCAGGAAAACATCCACAGCCAAAACTCCATGTCAGGGTTCCCAGGGGAGCGAGAAGTTAAACATTTATGGCAGCACGAAGAAGACATGACATTTACTGAATAATAAACTGCAAACATGTCTGTTAATGCAGCTTTTTGGGACCTCCTCACCATCAAACACTTAACCCCAGCAAGGGAAACACCAGAACGCAAACAATCCCCGTGCCTGTCTGTGAACAGGCAGCACATGGTGGGACTGGTGCTTTTTTATTTATTTAAAGTTAGAGGCAAGGGAGCTCTGTCAAGATAAACAGCCCGTGACCTTGCTCAGAGACTTCAGATCTGCTCATCTGAAGGGATACAATTAAATCCTGAGCCATCGGGTTAAAACTTTAACCTGCCAAGACTGTAGCTGTTCCATTTTTAATCAATCTGATTTCATTCAATAAAATGCTCATTAAGGCAATTAATGAGAGTTTGGTGTCACAAGCCATCAGGTGTGACTGGGAGTTTCCACTTGGTGGTCAAGGCATTGATCAGTGAGTCAAGTCATCAGCGCGAGAGAGTCAATGTGCTGAGCAGGAGAACATTACCTGGTTTTGGGGGAGGTTGTTAGCCACTCCTCATGCTTTTCAAACGTTATTAAATAAGCTGCAATTTCCTGAAAGAGAAATGCAGAAAGAAAACAGAGTTACTTGCATGGCTGTGCTGGGAACTGGAAAGTTTTATAACAGAGACATGGAGCCGCCTACCCCGGGGCCAGGCTGCAGCTGAAATCGGGTTTTGACTGACAGAAAGCACTCAGTAAATGTTCACATCCACGCCACCAAGGCCAGGCTTAAACAGGACAATGAAGAGATGCAAATGAGGAAAGGCATTAACATTTTCCAGCACAGAGAATTTGCTGGTAACTGTGGTGACCACGGCATCGCCGAGAGCCCGGTATGACGTCAGGAAGCAAAGGGGAGGGTAGCGACAATACGGACACAGGGAGCTAAATAAAATATTTATAAATAGAACAGCATCACTGCAGAGAGAATTACTGAATTATTAATCGTTGCCATAAAAAGCCAGCGGGTGACATCAACATAAGTCATTGCTCCCACTTGCAGGAATGATACGGGCGATTACTTCCAGATCAGAACCGATTTGTTTGCAGGAAATTATCGGCGCCAGCGACATAATTCACGACAGAGCCTGTAACCAGGCCTGAGGAACAGGACAGACATTCATCCATTTCCTGGGTACAAACCCAGGGTGGTCACAAGGTGACAAGTGTCACCACACCAGCAGTGTCCCAATATTTAGAGATGGCCACGGACTCCTGAGACTGTGCTGAAAATAAGTCCCCTACAATATACTCAGAAAAATGTAGGGTTTTGATGCCTATCTTCCAAAAATTATCACCCAGCCCTCTCAGAGGGGCCTGCATAGCAAAAGCTGAACAAGTGAGGTAAGTGAAACTGCCTTCAATGTAGAAATGCCTCAAATCAGACCCCCAAACCACATGCAGGATCATCTCCAGAGCCACTGCAGCAGAAGTGTCCCCAGGCTGTAACTCCCAACAGCACAACACACTCCAGTGCCAGGGCTTTCCACCAGGAGAGGTGTTTTTATTATTTTTTTTTTAGCTAGCTCTATATAAGGGCTGTCGCTTACAGTACCAAAGCTAAAAACCCCCACAATGCTCTCCAACCAGCTGGCCCAAGCATCTGCTAGAGCCACAAAATGCAATTATATTACTCCCAAACGAGACGTAAAAATATCTTGTTTCCAATACTCTTGGTTTTAAGACTCATACTTAATGTCCTCTGGGCATTGCGGCGGTGCCAGATCTCCGTGTTATGTACTTTATTAGAGCTGTGTGAATGTCATATTAATGACTCCTGACCAACATGTTTACACTGCAAATAAATTCTCCTGGAATCCACCAACACACCCCTTGTTTCCCAAGGCATTCTCTGCAGGTTTAAGGGATCCCCATGCACACAGATGACAGAGCAGCAACACGAAGCTCCAAAAACTCTTCTTTTTAATTTCTGGCTAGTGGCTACTGGCTGAATAAAACTCAGCATGAAAGACAGCCTGTGCAGACCTCCAATACCAGCACTGATGACCTTCCCAATCCTCACAGTTTCATAGCAACTGGACCTGAATCAGATGCAAGTGCTGAAATCTGGACACTACATGGCCAAAAAGTCTGACCCCAGATTTCCAACAGGCTAAAACCACCAAAGAACTCCATAACTAAAATTCTTCAGAAAATATGGAAAAATATCTCTGGGGTTTTTTGAAGCCAGTGCAGTAATTCCACGGAAAGTGCAGCAATCAGCAGAGCTCTATTCCCAACCCAACCCACTATAAGAGTCCTCAGCTCACTATGCTACAAACCAGTGTCACCTCTTGCTGTACAGTGAGATGAGCTCTGGAGAGACTGAGGAGCACTTGGGAGTTCCTTGCACATTCTCTTCAGCACCAGGCAAGCAAGCATTTACAGAAACAAACCCCTTCAATGCTAAGATGATTTAGGGGGTTCAGGTTAGTCTGAGATTTTGCCTATTCCTACTAAAATTCAACTGCTGTAAGGAAAATTAAGCCATTTTTAATTTTGTGGCTGAACAAATACATTGCTATGGCATAGAAACCCAAAGTATTTCAGGTGAAGGAACTCAGCCTTACCCATGGCACATTCACTCTGCTCCTTCCAGCCAGACCATGCCAGGCACATGTGAAAACTCAATCCCAAATCATCACTAACTGGAGGAGCTGCAGCAACAAGAGGCTCCCATGCAAGGCAGAACATGGGTCTCCACTCTGCTGACCTGGCCCACTCATGTTTGGGCAGAGGAAAGGCCAAGCTGCCAGTCAGTGATACAGATATACAGCAGGGAAGCAGGATGTGCCCCTCTGCTGCAAAACCCCCTTCAACCCCATTCCTTATATGTTCTGCTTTCTGTAACTACAACTTCATGTCAGCTCTGCAGAGGAAAGTGCTCAGCCCAGCACTGGTGGTTGATCAGATGTTGCAGGAGATGCCTCTGCCCAGTGGCTCCCTGTCTACATGGGACAGGCAGGGCACAGGCAGGGCTGGGGTTCAGCAGCTGCAAGGGCCAAGTATCCTGCTGTCACACCAACACCCTTTTTCCCTTTGAAAAAAGAGGGAAGAAATAGATTTATCACCAGAAGACACAAAGTCATTAAATAATTAAAAACAAAACTATGGGCACAATAAAAGCCCTCTGATAAAACCCTGCATTTTAATGTGTGTTAATTCCCCTAATGATTCTTTCTGTGTCTCACAGGGTCAAATCAATGTCCTCACAAAAAAATCCAATTATATCCCATTCATCGTATCTTTGGAGCAAGGCTATTGTTTGCTTTTGTCTCCTATCAAACCCTTTTCCCATTGCTTCTTGCCCTAGACTACAAACAAAAGACAGCATGGCACCAGCAAGGTCAGACGAGACAGAGCTGGCTCTGAAACCCCGGCTGGTGCTGGCTCCTCTGTGATTGCACAGCGAGCGACAGAAATCAAGGGACGCTGCACGTGACACAAATGCTCAGTCTCGTCACCAGCGAGTCCCCCTGCAGCACCAGTCAGGCCAGGTGGCACTAGGTGCACCCCAAGGCCACCCAGGTTTGTCTCCATGGGCAAGGGCACCGCACAGCACGGGCAGCAGCCCCTGTGCCAGGATGTCCCACCCAGACCCACGTCCCCTCTATCCCAGCTCTGAAATTACTGTCAGCATAAACTGAGTGAGCATTGCTGGGAAAGGGTGAATCACTGAAAGCTGTGTGGATCCAGCTCCACTTCTGAGTGTGTTGGCCAATCCCAGGGCAATGCTCAGCACGTGCCTTTCCCTCTCTGAGTGCCTGCAGGACCGAGCCCGCCACTCACACTGGTGAGAACAGGCTTGATTGACCATCTCAGAGAATCACACCATAAAGCAACGAGATTATTTAACATTCAAATCACTCGAGTTGTGTTTTATCCTAAACTTGGTCAGATAACTGTGTTTAGTTTAGACTTGGTTGCTCGGGCTGAAAGCATTTTATCTAGGTGCCCATTTCTTTTTCTTTTGCACTGGCCAGTTTGTTTAGATTATTAGTGCAAATGCACCAGGGAGCTGGGAAGCCCAGTGAGCTGCATGAGACAGGACACAAGCAGCTCCACCATCTCCAGACAACTGCCACCAAGGATGTTCCCATTGCTCCCTCAGCCTCGTGCCAGTGTGGCACCACTCAGCCTGGCATTCCTGGCTCAGGCACGCTGGCAGAGCCACCACACACTCCCCACCCAATGCTACGTGACTGCAGCTCCTCAGACACTTCAATATTTAATGTCAGCACGTAACGGCACATGGGTGACCTGATCTCACCCGCCGTGTCCCAGCCGCCGCGGTGAGGACGAGTGGCAGTGCTGCAGCCAGTGCCACAGGGACAGGGACAGCAGGGAGGAAGAAGCTCCCTCAGCACACTCAGAGCTGCCCAGCAGCTGCTGCAAAGCTGTTTGTCTTCGTGCAGAGGAGAGGAGAGGACGTGGCCACAAAGCACAGGACAGACTGACAGGCAGGGATCTGGCGGTGTCAGAGAGGCTCGTGACCCATCGTGCACACAGGAAGGTGCCAACTCTACCCTGAGCTGAAGGGTTTCCAGTGAACACACACATTTTTTGGTAGAAAAAAGAGTAAGTTAAAAAAAACTCTGAAAAGGACAATTAATGGGTTCCCTAAAGCCATGGATTGAGTGTTGGTTCCTTCCTCCCACCTCAATTCCCTCCAGGTCATCCTGCATCATCACAAAGTATTGGCAATTCCCACCTCACCTCTCAAAATAAAAAGAGAAACTGTAAGGGAGAAGGATTGCAGGATTCCCTAGGCCAGGCAGTTCTGGTCACCATCTGGTCTCAAAGCAACATGTAATTCATTAAAAAAAAAGCAGTCTCAATTTCAAGTTATTACTTTGTATGAATTATACACACCTGAATTAATAAGCCTGAATCTATGCATGTGTTGGGAGAAAGAAGAAGAGTTTCTACTCATGCCTAGATTTAGACCACAGAGCTAATAAAGCTGCGATCTCTTAAGCGAGCACATTTATTCTCTTAGGAATTCATGTCCTCTCTGCTATAAAAACAAATTCCAGCCCATCACTTCCTTATCGTCCTTCTGCTCTGAAATGAAAATAAAAATTCATGTAGACTATGGACCATCTTCTCAGCTGGGATTGAGCCATTTTCATTTCTACCCATACCCACTCTCAAAGCTATTAATATTCTGAATACCCCAACTACAAACTGCTCCAAACACCACACACAGCGGGCTCACACCACCTTGTTCAGCATCATGGGAACAAAAATCAAACTCCCACTGCATTCGCCCAGTTGTGTGGCCTAAATCAGCAACACGATCAAAGGGATATTGCTCATGAGCTGGGTGAAACAAGGAGCAGGAGAAAGGCAAAGTGAGCCCTCGAGTGTCCAGGAGGGTCAGGTGCCTGTCAGTGACAGAACACTCCTACACCAGAATGCTTCACTGCCATTTCAGGCAGGACTTGGTTTGGTCTTGAAGCACTACCCATCTGCAACTTCTCAAAGCACAAACACTGATCAGCCTATGCTGAGGCTGAGAAGGGGCTAAAGCTCAGATATTGCTGCTGTTT